TTAGAAAATGTCAGAGAAGGGAGGAGGGAGAGACGTAGTCCACCAAAGGGGGAAAAAGATAGAAACTCCCTCTTCCTCCAGTGTATAATGTTGAAAATGAATTACTTGTTAAGTTTTACATTTCAATTTTAATTTGTTTATTCTGAATATCATTATTACACGTTTAGTTGTTCTCCCTTATACTTGTAAAAAGTACTTTCGTCTTGTGTAACAGTTACAGTACAAAATCTTAGTTCAAAAAAGAAATTTGTAAATTAAAGTTTATACGTTTGAATATGGAAATTAAATAATTGTCTATGAGTAAATAATTGTCTCTGTTATTCCTGTCGAACAGACAGATACTTGCAAAAGACGCGACCGGTCCTTCAACTAAGCTGGGAAACGCATCCGGCGGACGTAGGGACACGAAGTATGGGCGACCATTGACGAGAGTGTCCCAGTTTTTGGTGTTCGCGGAAGAGTCTAACACCGACCTTGAAAAGCGGAAAATAACGGGGAGGGTAGATCTTACGCATACGCGTAATCCCTAGCTGGCTATACCGAAAAAGTTCCGGCTAATGCTATGGCTAATAATCATTAGGTCTCTGGCTATTGGCTATATGTTAAACGTCATTTTAGTCTTTTAGAACCACAGGTTTTACAATCTTATTGTGTTGAAGAAAACTTTACGAAACAATAACAAATACTTGAAAAGTTGTAATTGTGAAGAAAGGGGAGCTTTTTGTTTTTGTTGGGATGCTTGATTCTGGGTCTTGGCTCCGGGCGCCCTGGGCTTTTTAGACTGCTTTAGGACATTTGACTTGTGAACCTGTTGCTTTTGTTCTTAGACCTTGTGTCTTTGTTATTTTTTTTGATTCTTGTAAACTTCTCTATTTTTGTTAAAACCTTAATAAAACCGGTTTGCACTTTGTACATTTTGACCCAATTCCTGGTCTCTCTCGTGGTCTCTGAAGGTATCTGCTTGGTCTTAGAGTGAGGTAAGAACACCCTTCCTTGGAAAACGCTGACATTAGTTGATCATTTTAATTTGAAATTGTTTAAGGGGAATAGAAACTCTGCTAAGGTTAAACTATAGTTTCACATTGGTTACTGTGGTTGATGTGGTTTTGATTTATGTTGAAATATGACATATGCTCTGCTGATGTGGTAATATCACTGCTGTGATATTTAACTCTGGCTGTGTTTGATATTACATTTGCATTGTTTTAATTGGTATATCTAGGGATCAAAATGGGGGTTTAGGGATTGTGGGTCCTGAAGCTGCCCTAATTACCAGGGAGTCTCCCAACAACACAGGGTTTCTCCTCCAGGGGCAGTTTAGATACGGCTCTGGGGTTCTACCAGCCCACCAACACCTATTCCGCTACACACTCCGTTTTGCTATCCTGGCCGTCGGAGATCAACGCTTTAGTGGCTGAAATAAGTGATACGATGGGCAGCATGGTGTTAGAGGCCATGCTGTAAGCGCCCCCCTAAGCAGATTACGTTGATCTTGCGTGTAGATTCCGGGGGGCTAAGTCCTAAAAGGATTGGACGGACGTTTTCTGGAGCCTTATCAGCACTGGATCTCGGTATCGGAGACGGCCTAGATATTAACATTGGTTGTATCAAAGTTAGATTCCTTTTCAACAGCTCGATGACAATTTAAAAACCAATGTATTGTGCACAGTATAGCTGATAATGGGGGTTCATATAAAGCAATACCTTTGCCCCTTGAGTGCTGATTGGAGGAGATACAGTAACTTGAACCTTATTAGAAAACCATTTTCACATCTGTCACTGTAAGTGGTTTCCAGAGTGAGAGAACAGGTACTTTACCTCCAGACGACACGCTGGGGAAGCCTGGCGAGGGCTCCTGCCAGTTTGTGAGCTATGTCATGGGAAAGGTACTTGACCCCAGCTCCAAACGAAACGACCACAAAGCCATGCTCTGCTGTGTCATTCACCCACGCCTCAAAATCCTGTGGGAGAAATGAGAGAAAGAGCTACAATTATTCATTGTGTAGAGGTTCATAAAAATGCTAACGCTTATAAATGTGTTGTTGTAGTGAAAACCCTTTGTTCCCCTAACATTTTTAACCTCACCAGTCACTTATTTTATAGTAGACTTATTTATTTGTGTTACGACCCCCTCCACTCCACTAGGGGTCTCTGCCTTTGTGTTATGCTGGCTGGCTCTTGTTTGTGTTTCAGGTGATCAACCTGATGAACCACAACTGGGCCGTCGACATAAAAGGCCAACACTAACCCATACTGCCCTCTCACTCTTGTGTTGGACACGGCCGCGTATTTGTTTCTGCACATTTTCACACACCCATACACGCAATCATTACTGATAACTGACTTCCACGTTTATTAGGTTTCTTTGAAGACCTTTGGTTATATCTCTCAAAAGCTCCGCCCTCTACTGGACTCTATGGATACTCCCCTCGATCCTATCATGCAAGCATTCCTTCACTGAGACTTTCTAGACGTAGCCGGCCCCTGGGCGGGCCTACCTGAATGCGCGCAAATCTCACCGCGTAAGAGGAGGCCTCGCCTCCTCACTGCCATCCTTTACTTCTCTTCAGCAAGGCAGTGAGTAACTGAGTGAAGAGAGAGGGACAAAGAAATCTTTTACAAAAAGCATACGAAGAACAATGGATTCACCTGTGGATTGCCCCTGTCCTTCGTGTCCGGCCGTCGTTTTGCGGCGGGACGGGTTACCAGAGAATACCACAGCTTTATTGCTGGGGCCCCACAGTTGATTGCACATCCCCTAACACAGTGTTATGGGGAATGGAAACGCAGCTGCGTGTTAACGGAGTGGACGGACCGGACGCTGAGACTGGGTCATTCACTCCAGTTTTGCAGCATCCCTCCTCCGTTCCCAGGCATAAGAGAGGCAAAGCTATCATCCCAAGGGGAGATAGGTTTTCTTTCAGCAGAGGTTCAGGCCTTGGTGCAAAAACAGGCAGTGTCTGCTGTGCGCACACAAGACAGAGAGGGGGGGCATTATTCCCTGTGCTTCCTGGTGCCCAAAAAGACAGGCAAATTCAGGCCCATTCTGAATCTCCACATTGCAGGCAGAAAATTCCAGATGTTAACTATAAAACAGTTACTGGGACTGGTGCAGCCAGGCGATTGGTTTACAACCATTGACCTGAAGGACACTTACCTTCATGTTGGGATTGCTCCGAAACATAGAAAGTATTTGCGTTTTGCCTTCCAGGGGGTGGCCTACGAGTACAACAGGCTGCCGTTCGGTACTACTCCCTGTCCCCGTGCACGTTCAGCAAGTGTGTGGCCGCAGCGATCCAGCCGCTGCGCAGCCGGGGCATGAGAGTTTTATTTTATCTGGACGACCTCATAGTTATGGCCAGGTCCAGGGAACGGGCAATGTACAGCCCAATTAATCCTACACCTAAACAAGTTGGGTTTTGCGATCAATTGGAAGAAGAGCAACAGGGGCGTTGTATTTGGGAGTGGTGCTCGATGCAGGCAGGCTACGCGCCACCCTGTCAGAGAACAGACAGGCATCCTTGCTTCGGGCAGTTTGCAGACTGCGACAGGGGGCAACAGTGACAGCTTTGACTGTCCTGCAGACCTTGTGTCTCATGGTGGCAGCTCACGTTGTGGTCCCGCTTGGGTTACTGCATATGCGCCGCCTGCAGAGGTGGTTCTCCAGCCTGCGTTTAGATCTCAAGAGACACAAACGAACTGTATCATGTCGATTTTTGTCAGACTAATACGTGTTGTAAAAGGTCATTGTTTTACGGAATTGATTGGAAGTTTTTCGTCAAGGGTTTGGTGTCGCCACTTGTATACTTACCGATTTTTTCAGTGAAACTTTTATTTCACTGAAAAAAATGTAAGTATACACCCAGTGCGACCACCAAACCTTAGACGAAAAACTGATACTAATAATCCGTAAAGACGAATACCTTTTACAAAACAACGTCAATTAGTCCATGACAAAAAAATTCGGACCATGATACCCGAGTTGTGTAAAAAATTATCTACCCTCAACGAAAAATTATACCCTAACAACAAGTATAAATGGTGGTGGTGTCTATAAACATTATGAAACAAACCCTTACAATAATAAAAAACATCCTAACAACCTCATGCACAAAAGGGGTATAAAAGCTCGTCATCATTCCCATTCCTCTTTATCCATGACAAATATATTTACCATAAAAAGAAAGTTCTTACAAGACATCATACTATGTGTTTTATGGATAACAAAAACTGTCAAATCCAGACATGTATTAAACAACGCACGAAGGATTACTCAAAAGAAGTTTGGTCGTCAGGATTTTTACATGTGACGTGTTTGAAAAAGATAGAGCCATAACGTTTAGCATAATTACGTCAGTAACAGATGAGAGTCTGACAACATCAACTTATTGTACCAGTAAACAAACCGGTGTAATTCCCTATTGTAATAATTGACATTTGGTTCACCTGTATCATAAAGATTAAGACGTGAAGTGTTAAAATTGTTCTAGCGGTTCTAATACTACCCTCGTCAATCTTAGGTTTTCAAGTCCAAGTCGGAGTGAATATCAAACCCCTCTTATTATTACTCGTTTAATAAACATTCTGTCGGTTCGGGAGGAGGACACAAGCCCACTTCGTAATATACGAATGTGTAGGTTACATCCCTATATTGTGCTGATTTGACGTTACTATCGTCGACACCGAACACAAACCCATTATTTCAGGGTTCAGTAACAACCCACGACAGTCGGTTACTCACTGCAGACTCCTTCTACTTTTTACACATTTAATTCGTAACAACCTCTTTTTCACCGACACGTAGAGAACGTAAATACACCCGCGTATCTGCCTCGGAAATAAGAAATGAAAAAAATTTTAGTAAAAAACATTATAAATTTAACCGAACCAAAAGCACTTTATCGGACAAAAGTATAATTTACCATTGTCTAACTACGTAGAGGTGGTCTAGTAGAATTTCCGAAGCCATTAGGGGGTAACATCAAGTTTTTTTGACATTTTCTGATCCGGGGTTGGTCCGTAGAGACGTATTCCGGGGGTTTTTCGATCTTTGCCCGGGACCTCCCATCAGTTGTACGTAATAGTACTGTACAATCTAGTACCTGAATTCCATACTACTCAGTTGGTCAATCCTAAGGTCTGTCAGGCCTCCTGATTTTATGAAGTAGGCCAATTTATATCAATTTTTTTTTCGTTGATATGGCTCAGTACTATCGGTCCTTTTTTTCACCATGTAGCGCTACAGTCAAAAAAAGCACTTAGTAGGCACGTCGGGATCGGATATTACTACACTTTTTTAGTCAATGCTTTTAATATGGTAATTCAAATCCATTGGATAGAGATTCGAAACTGTCCTTCCCTATAGAACGATTCTACATTTGTTTGGACTGAATTAATACAAATAAACCTCCACGGGGACGAAAAACAATGTACACCAAGGAATAGTACGGACATGTAAGATGGGTGACCGAGCCAAAAAACAACACCCGACAACCAACGCAAACAAATCTGTTCTCTTCCTATTCGCTTGTCTCCTCCCTGGCAACATAGTGTTGGACATGCATGCACTGTGTCTAATCACTATGTTGTACATGAATGTGCAACAACTTGGCCAAATTATTAAACCACCAGAGACACCAATCACGACTGCCAACGAATAGTTTACTGTGGCATTACTTGTGTGAAAGATAAACATGGGAGCAACTACCTGACTACTCAAAAGACGTTTCAAGCACATCCTCCGCCACATACTGTAAGATCTCTACCTTAATAGACATGTTCGATATTGAGTAGGAGTTTCAGTACACACCCTTTGTACGAAGCACTATTTTACAAGATAAATTTCCAAGACAAGATAACAACAGTCGCACAAAATCCAGACGAGTCGGAGTCTACAATGGAGTCCGCGACACAATGTACACTCCACTGTCGACCATAACAAAAGCGGTAGAACCCATTGCTGAACTATAATGCATAACGGTAGTTATGTTTACACGCCGGACCGAGTATCCGACGTCTGGTCTGCTCTGTGACCCTCTGGTCTGTCTTCCGCACATTCACATTTGTTTCTTCGCGCCATAAATAAATGACTGATTGGGTTTTGTTTCACAATCCATACGACTGGCCCACAATATATCTTGTGCGTCCGCCTCGGGAGATGCCTGCATATACGCCATGAAGGGAACTAGCGACCAGTCGTTCGCTAAGACAGTGACTCTGGACAAGATCTGCATCGGCCGGGGACCCGCCGGATGGACTGTTACGCGCGCGTAGAGGTGGCGTACTTCTCCTCCGGAGCGGAGCGAGTGACGCGGTAGGGAAATGAAGAGAAGTCGTGGGGGGGGGGGACCCGCATCGTGATCGCATGTCTGTCGGGCGCTGGGGGTCTCCATCTCCCGAGGCGGACACAACGCCATATATTGTTCCCATGTAAGTATTTGGGAGCAAAATAGCACGAGGCGTCCGAGTTTTGTGCGTGACAGCAGGGTGTCTGTTGTGACAGGTAGAGTACCACAGACTGGGCCTGGAAGACCAATCCGTCGGACGAGCCCGGGTGAGTGGAGACGAGGCCAGCATTTGGCACCTCTTCTTTTCTCCGACGCCGCATGCTCGGCGTGGGAATACGCCGATAGGGGACCGCCGGTGCCACACGATATTGTACCTCCTGAGGGTGGGAGGACGGGTTTTCGGTGCCCCCTTTTTCTCAGGAAGTTGGGGATACCCAGCGTACACACACAGTGCACGGGGCCCCGGGCCCCGGGACCCTTTGCATTCGTCGCAATGCAGGCGCGCAGGCCCCCCCAGTCTTACGGGGGCAGCTGGTGTCGGGGAGGGGGAAGCGAGTGGTCAGGGACTACATCGAGGTCGTTGTGGTCTACTGCTTTTCTCGGTCAGGTCTCTATTTTTGAAATACTTCCCCGGACCGCAACTGGTCTTCTACGCGGCACGTATACAGGAGGTG